TGTCCAGACAGCAGGGCCACAGGGCTGTACTGTCACACACCTGTGTGTCCAGATAGCAGAGCTGCAGGGCCGCAGGGGTGTACTGTCACACAGTGTGTGTCCAGACAGCAGGGCCGTAGGGCTATACTGTCACACACTGTGTGTCCAGACAGTAGGGCCGCAGGGCTGTACTGTCACACACCTGTGTGTCCAGACAGCAGGGCCGCGGTGCTGGTGTCCTGTACTGTCACACAATCTCCTCTCCATCAGCTTTTCCTCTGATCTTCTGCTGGCATTTTTGGCATTTTAAGCTGACAGGTCATCCTGATAGCTGTGTTTTGTAGTACAGAAAAACCAGCTGCTACAACAGCTCATGTCAGCTGCTTCCGTACGGTTGACCCTGAGCTGCTGTGATCAGGCCTTTGAGAGTCGTGATCAAAGTAATTTAAAGATGCTTAATTACATCCTATTATAAGGCTTATTTAATGCCATTTTGTGTTATGCTTGGATTTTTCTCAGTCAAATTGAATAATAACAGCCAGAGCTTTTAACATAATAGAAAAAAATAGCGGAGGCTCTTAGTTAAGGGTCTGTGCTCAGCGGCTGCGAGGTTGTTGTTTAAAACCCACATTGCAGAGACTTCCCAGTCTGGCTCAGTCACAGGAGATGACCACCTCTCCTCCCCTTGGTGTTTATGATCCTGGTTTTGAACGATAGCTCATGGCTTCAGGAGCAGAGCAAACGGACCTCAGGACAAAATTGTTGTGAGTCTTTTGAGAATGCTGAGGCGTGAAAGAGAACCGGGACCCTGTCTGGCCCGTCTGATCGATCCGGGACCTCGTCCAGCTGTTTTGGGAAGGAAACCAGGGTATCCTAGCATAGGATAGGCAGCCAGCTTGTTCCATGCTCCCACCGCCATCTGTGTAAAGATCCTCCTTCTCTCTGTTTTTAATGCACCTCCTGCTATGTCCCTACTGTGTCCCAGTGCTGGGATGCCCTCAGGCACAGCTGGTCATGCTGTCTGCTGTCATGTGTCCACATTCTTCTAACCCCCATGACTCTCCACAGGGCTTGTCAGTTCCCTCCTCTGTGCCACCCTGTCAGCTGATCCCTGTCTTTTTTTGCAGGCGGTCGGTGTATTGGCTTGATGCCCTTCCCTCGGAGAGGAACGG